CCTGCATCGGCAGGCGGACTCTCAAGCACTGCGCCACCAGGGAAGCCCAATTTTTTCATTTAAATTTAAAAACTCTTGGCAAGCATGCACTCCTAGTTTGCCGCAGTCTCTACCACTCCCTATTTTTATACCCTGGTCATAGGGCTTTACACATTTCCTGTCCTTGCCAGCCTCTGGAGACACTGAGTTTGCCAGCTTATACCCTAGTAGAAACTAGTTGACTGATTTACTTAAACTAAGAGATGTAGTTTTTCCCACATAATAATTTACATTGTGACTTTGGGCAAATTACTAACATCTTTGGGTCTCTTTCAGCTCTCAAATTCTGTAAAAGCATCTATGCATTGTTTGACAGCCTATGCTCAAAGTCATCTGAACTATTTTGTGAATTCTTAGCTGATATCAAATAAAATGACAATTCCTTATGTGATTCTTTTCTTTAAATTTATTTATTTATTTATTTTTGGTTCAGTTGGGTCTTTGTTGCTGCGCGCAGGCTTTCTCTAGCTGTGGCGAGCGGGGGCTATCTCTTCATTGCGGTGCGCCGGCTTCTTTTGCTGCAGAGTGCCAGCTCCAGGCACATGGGCTTCAATAGTCGTGGTGCGCAGGCTCAGTAGTTGTGACTGGCGGGCTCTAGAGCACAGGCTCAGTAGTTGTGGCGCACGGCTTTAGTTGCTCCATGGCATGTGGGATGAGGGATCCTCGCGGATCATGGCTCGAACCCGTTTCGCCTGCATTGGTAGGTAGATTCTCAACCACTGCGCCACCAGGGAAGCCCCAAACAAGCACTTTGAATGCAGCTACTAACATGCTTATGGGGCCCCAGCGTACAAGAAATACTGATGGAACCCTCCCAAATGTTAACATTAGAATAGTAAATGTAAAAAGATTATTTTAAATGACATTGAAAAGAGTACCTATACACAAAGCAAGTAAAAGACACGTATGTAACCAAAGAAAGAAATGTGATGATTTTAATTGCTTAAGATTCTTATAAACTTTAAAAGAAAGTATTCTTTAAAAAAAAATTAAAGCACAGGACACTGTAAAAAGAGGGAGAACTAAGACATCCATGATCCTAACAAGAAATGCAAGTTTCTATTTTGCCTGTTACTCTCTTGCTTTGTCTATAGATAGTACATATATTTTTACATTTGCAATTATAGTGATTGAGCAATTCTGTATTTGGCTTTTTTTCGTATAATTACATTCTAAACATTTTCCATGTTGCCACAGAGTCTTCACAATATTTATTTTTAGTGATGGCATAATATTCCATCAAATTGCTTAAACATTCTTATGCTATTGCAATTTTAGTTTATTCTGAGTATATTTTTAAAAAATCTAATTGTCAGCATTACTAACTAAAATTCAGTACTGTGATTTTATTTTTTCATCCTTTCAATATACACTAATTTCACCAATTGGTTAACTATAAAAAGAATCCTCAGGAGTTTCAAAGAGCATGGAAAAGACATATTAAATTAGGATGAATTTCAAGCATTTGATGACAAGTCATAAATCACTCCAGCACTTGATAAAACTGCATGCTTGTAAAGGAGTAGACAGTGGATTCAAAGTGCCTGCATCCTGCCTTTGCTTGACACCAGTATTGTGCCTTGGGGAAACTTGATTCATTTCTCTGTGCCTCTGTCTTCTCATCTGCAAAATGGGGTTAGTAATAGTGCCTATCATGTAAGACTGTTCTGAGGATTAAACAAAAAAAATGTTGCATGTTAAACACTTAGAACGGTGCCTTTCATATTGAAAGTGCTATATAAATGTTATCCTCTTAATGTTAGAATACCTTTACATTTTTTCTCTACCTTACAAGAACTCTACGTGCAAGCAAGACAAGTGGTGAGTTTTAAAACTTTAAGGAAAAACAAAAAAAAGCGAGAGAATTTCTTAGCCAGGAGCAACTTCTTTTACTTCTTTTTCTAAGGTGAATTGGTTACAATTCACCTTAGACATTTGTGAACTATCATTCTGTCAGCATAATCATAATAGTAAGAGTAAAGTAAAATAAGCACCACTCAGTGGCATGAAAGGATGGGGAATTCCAAAAGCCACTCTGTCTTCTCAGGGTGTCTGCTCTGAGGAGCTATTGCTATGTGAAAGAAATCGTTATGCAGAACATATTTATTACCTTGATAGAGGATGACAGCCAAGTGTGTTAAGATCTGTAAATGAGGGCTTCCCTGGTGGTGCAGTGGGTAAGAATCCACCTGCCACCGCAGGGGACACGGGTTCTAGCCCTGGTCCGGGAAGATCCCACATGCCGCAGAGCAACTAAGCTCGTGCGCCTCAACTACTGAGCCGGTGTGCCACAGCTACTGAAGCCTTCATGCCTAGAGCCTGTGCTCCACAAGAGAAGCCACTGCAGTGAGAAGCCCTCACACCGCAAGGAAGAGTAGCCCCCACTCGCCGCAACTAGAGAAAGCTTGCATGCAGCAACAAAGATAAAAGTGAAGTAAAATAAACACCATCGGGCTTCCCTGGTGGTGCAGTGGTTGAGAGTCCGCCTGCTGATGCAGGGGACAAGGGTTCGTGCCCCGGTCTGGGAAGATCCCACATGCCGCGGAGCGGCTAGGCCCGTGAGCCATGGCCGCTGAGCCTGTGCGTCCGGAGCTTGTGCTCCGCAACAGGAGAGGCCACAACAGTGAGAGGCCCGCATACCGCAAAAAAAAAAAAAAAAAAAAGCACCATCTACTCAATATTATGTGCCAGGCAAAACACTTGGACTTTTTAAAATACTTTAAAATCTGCATAACAACCTAGGCAGAAATATTACTACCCCAGTCTTACAGATGGGGAGACAGACTCAGCGAAATGAAATGACCAGCCAAAAAACACAAGCTGCTGGAAGATGAGTGGCCAGCACTGACCAATTCAGGTTATGTTAAGATTTGACAGGTAGAGAAGTTGTGAGACTCCTTTCCTGAGTGTCCATCCCACCAACTTTCCCATCAAGGCCTCATTAGACATCAAAGGAGGTAAAATGCATTTTTTCTTTTCTTTTGCACACTGTAGGTACGAAGATGGATCAAGAGTCCGGTGGTCAGTGTGGACAAGCATCAGAGTCCCAGCCTGAAGTACACGGGCCCCGCAGTGGTGTACGTGCCACCAGGGGAGCCAGACTTCGAACCTTCGTTGTGTCAGACGTGCCTGGGAGACCAAGCTTTCCAAAGAGGGGTTCTCCCTCAGGAGAAGGAGTCAAGCTCATGGGAAACTCAATCCGCATGCGAAGTAAGTTTGCTCTGGATTCATTCTTCTGAAAGGATTCTAGGCCTTTGTTTTTCTTGTATCCATGCCATGGTATGCCCCAAAATTTATTTTTTTAATGCACATTTATAAAGCTTCTGAGGAGGACATAGAATTGTGGCCTTTGTTAGTCCATTGTACTAAGTATTTTTTAAATAGACTTTACTTTTTAGAGCAATTTTCAGATTACAGCAAAATTGAGAAGAAAATATAGAAAATCCTATACATTCCCTAGCCCTAGATATGCACAGTCTCTCCCACTATCAACATCCCCACCAGAGAGGAACATTCCTTACAACTGATGAACCTGCATTGGCACATCAGCACCCAAAGTTCATAGTTTACATAAGGGTTCACTCTTGGTGTTGTATATTCTATGGGTTTGGACAAATGTATAATGACATGTATCCATCTTTATAATATCATACAGAATAGTTTCACTGTCCTAAAAACCCTCGGTGTTTCACCTGTTCATCCCTCTCTTCCCCCAACCCCTGGCAACCACAGATATTTTACTGTCTCCATAGTTTTGCCTTTTCCAGATGCCATGCAGTTAGAATCATACACTTTATTGTCCTAATTTTTTTTTTTTTTTTTTTTTTTTTTTTGCGGTACGCGGGCCTCTCACCATTGTGGCCTCTCCCATTGTGGAGCACAGGCTCCAGATGCGCAGGCTCAGCAGCCATGGCTCACGGGCCCAGCCGCTCCGCGGCATGCGGGATCCTCCCAGACCGGGGCACGAACCCGTGTCCCCTGCATCGGCAGGCGGACTCCCAACCACTGCGCCACCAGGGAAGCCCTGTCCTAATTTTTTATGCTGTTCCAAGGCAGCAATGTTTTGGTCAACTAGAAATTCCTCCTAAGTTGTTTGATCACACAGAAATCAATTCTTGTATGATGTAAGAAAGATATTATAAGTCATCTAAAGTTTGTAAACACCACTGAAATATTTATCTCAACTTGATTTGACCCATAACAGAGAACTATGTCAATCTTTCACTATTTTCCCATATATACTCATATTTTTCATATATACTTATATTTTTCCTGACATTTTTCTCTGTTACTCCAAGAGTTTTGGGGATTTGTGTGTTTGTTTTTATTTTATTTTATTTTATTTGTGTTACGCGGACCTCTCACTGTTGTGGCCTCTCCCATTGCGGAGCACAGGCTCCGGATGCACAGGCTCAGCGGCCATGGCTCACGGGCCCAGCCGCTCCACGGCATATGGGATCTTCCCCGACTGGGGCACAAACCCATGTCCCCTGCATCGGCAGGCGGACTCTCAACCACTGCGCCACCACCAGGGAAGCCCTGTGTGTTTGTTTGTTTTCTAATTTTGCTAATTCAAGAAAGACAGATAACTGACTTATCTTGTAGGTTCTAACATTTCAAAAATTTAAGGTTGTATTTTTAACTTATAACTCAATTAGGCTTATTTAGTTTGACTTTTAAAACCGTCAGATTACATGTTTATATTATTTTTATTACCAATTTATTGACATAAATATACAACAGTAAGAAGACAGGATATGTTATTACAAAGTACAATTAATTGCAAGTGATCTTCCAATATGTTATTTCAAATCAGTGCATCATAAGATGATAAATGTTAATAACTTCTCCTTCTTTTTTTTTAAAATCAGCATTTTCCAGAGATAAAGTAATCATTTTAGCTGCTAAAAGATAAAAACACTTGAATCTGAATTCCTTTTAACCCTGAGATACGCAATGTCTCAGAAACTGTTACCTCATGAAAAAGTAATACCTGCTGCCTACTTTCTAGGGTTATTGGAAATATCAAGTGAGATATACATGAAATATTTCATAATCTATAAAGTGCCATGCAAATATAAATCATCATTACTTATGTTTGCTGATGCACATATTAGCTAAACCTGTAACTGAACTAGACTTCCATGACTACGTTAGCAGTTTGCTGATCTATGAACATTTGTCACAGGGCATTTGTTGTTTAGCTCGACACTGGCTCAACCCCATGTTAGTCATAAAAGGTAATAAATCGATTTTAAATGCAAGGATTGGAAAACTTTTTCTGTAAAAGGCCAAATAGCAAATATTTTAGGCTTTGCAGGCCATACAGTCTCTGTCACTTCGATTTAGCTCTGCCCTTGTAGGGAAGATAACATACAAATGAATGGGCCTGACTGTGTTTAAATAAAACTTATATTTATAAAAACACGTGGCTGGTCCACCAGCCATAGTTTGCAGACTCTTGGACTCTTAAGAGTCTAAAAGAATTTGCCAACTCCTTAGAGTCTAAAGAACTATTCATGACTCAGAGGCAGAGAGAGGGCTCTGCAAATCCTATACAGAGCACAAATGCCTAGTCCTAAATATTTACTGGAGGGCCTACTATATGCCAAGCTGTTGGGAATAGAGCTAGATTAATGAATAAATGGAATTCCACTCAAGAGGAAACAATAAACAAAGAGCTGGAAGGAATTTAAAGCAACATTGTGATTCATCCTTTTACTTTATCCAGGATTATAGGTGAATCAGTCTCCAATTTACAATGGATTACCTGATTCTGATTTAGCTGGGTTTTTTTAAGATCACCACAAACCAAAAAGACACCGATATTTTTACAATTTAAAAATGAACCTAGAAACTTCCCTGGTGGTCTAGCAGTTAAGACTCCATGCTTCCACTGCAGGGAGCACGGCTTCAATCCCTGGTTGGGGAAGTAAGATCCCGCATGCTGTGTGGCACGGCCAAAAAATAAAAATGAATCTATACTTTGTATCCTTTAGGGATTAAACCATGAAATAGTTCCTTGAGAAGGCACCTCTGTCCTTTTAGGAAGTGGAGTCGTGTGCTAAGTAGATGGAGAGGCTGTTAGATGGAGATCAGACCTCGTGGCGAAGACCTCAAGTTGTCCCCCTGACAACTCCTGATGTGGATTATTTTAAGCAAGTCATTAATTCATCCTTCCTGCTCAATGTTCCCTCCTATGAAAACTGAGATTATTCATGCCATCGAGTTCCTTCCTAGGAGTTTTTTTTTTGTTTTTTTGTTTTGTTTTGTTTTTTTGCGGTGTGCGGGCCTCTCACTGCTGTGGCCTCTCCCGCTGCAGAGCACAGGCTCCGGACGCGCAGGCCCTGCAGCCATGGTTCACGGGCCCAGCCGCTCCGCGGCATGTGGGATCTTCCCGGACCGGGGCACGAACCCGTGTCCCCTGCATCGGCAGGCAGACTCTCAACCACTGTGCCACCAGGGAAGCCCCCCAGGAGTTTTTTTGTACTTTGCAAATGAGATGAGATTTTAAAAACTTTTTGTAAATGTAAATTTATGTGTAGTGTTCTGGAGTCAGACAACCCACATTCTGGTGCCAGCTCTGTCCCAAGGTCAATACATGAACCTGAGCATGTCACAAAAGCTCTTCAACATCATGCAATGGGCCTCACCTAATTAACTCTAAAGCCCTTTTTAGTCTGAAATCCTGTGGTTGGAATTTGATGACCTATAAATGAGAAAAAACTCTCTATCTGATGTATAAAGATAAAGCATAGAAAATGAGGTGAGAATGTTTCAAATAAAATAGGAAAGCAAACAAAGCACAAGTCCTTTATGAATAATTGTGAGAATTTTTTTTTTTCCTGACTTTAAAAATAGTAGTCTAAATGCTACTTTTGGGCTTCCCTGGTGGCGCAGTGGTTGAGAGTCCGCCTGCCAATGCAGGGGACACGGGTTCATGCCCCGGTCCGCGAAGATCCCCCATGCCGTGGAGCAGCTAAGCCCGTGAGCCATGGCCGCTGAGCCTGTGCATCCGGAGCCTGTGCGCCGCAACGGGAGAGGCCACAACAGTGAGAGGCCCGCATACCGCAAAAAATAAATTAAAAAAAATAAATAAATGCTACTTTTAATGGCCAAAAATTTGCTAAGAGTTATAGTGCAGTTAGTTTGTGCCATGCCTTGCCAATTGTCTAGTTAGTAGCTTTTAAACATGTTTCTCCTATGGAAGAAACTAGGATATACGTATTGCTAATAAATCATCCAGAAGAATAGCAATATTGTGATGTTATTAGTAGTGCTGTCTAAAAATGGACTGTTTATTAAACAGACCTTTCTGGGAATGAGATGGGAAGAGGATAACACAGAGCTGTGTAAGCTGTTACTGAATAATGCATGCCAGTGGAACTCAAGTTGAAGTCAACTTTTAGTTCCTAAAGAGATGGAACCATATTAGTTTTTCGATGGGTGCATGTTGATTAAACATATTCAAACTCTGTTTTGCAGCATATCTCTCACAGCACCTCCAATATCCAGATAGACCTAGCTGGAAGGACAGGAAAGGAATGTTTTGGAGTGGCAGTGGGGAAGGAAATCTGGTGTGAGGGAAAGCATAGGATCGGATCAAGATGGCAGCCTGAACATTTAATGTCATCTCTTCTTCTTGCCTTAAATAATAGAAAACACACACACATTTTAATTTATAGTAGTGCTAGAAAACAAGGTATGTCATTGTATGCATAAGGAATAATTAAGACTCTCTGAAAAACAGAAGGCAGGTAGGATTATGAAGTTGATGAGAAAACTACAGTCCAAAATGATCACATCAAAGACCAATCTAACAGATGGGGACACTGCAAGCTTATCTATTCAAAAGAATCCAGTAAGTTGGAAAATAAGGATGTTCCAGGCATGACTTAATAAAAGGAAAGCAGTGTTAAGAATATAAATGTCAGAAAAAAAACAATGTAAGACAAAAAATTTGAAAGGAACAAAGAGGAATATTTCACATTGATGAAAGATAGCTGCTAAGAAGGTAAAACATTCACCAACCTTTATGAGCTTAGCAACATAACATGGAAATAGTTAAGGCAACAAATAATAGATATACAAAGAAAAATTGAAAATTCATGTCACAGAAGAACATTTTTGTCATACTTCTCCCAGGAAGACTGACAATGTGTGAGGATAGAGGATTTTATTTTATTTATTTTTTAAAATTAATCAATTTA